TATTTTTGGTATTATAAACTTAATATTATTAAAATAAATAGGAATATTTTTAGCTTTATAACCAACAATAGTTTTCTTACCATCAATACCTACTATAATGATAAGATGTTTCATTGGTTGCCATTTATTTAATGGTAAAGCATTGTTGCGACAGCTTGAGATTGTTGCTCCAGTGTCTAGCAATACATGTAGATTATATGGTTTATAGCCCTAAAAATAAAAATCACATTTCACATAAGTATACTATCTATCTTTATTAGAAAACAAAATTGTGTCAAGTGCAAATAGTTTAAAATTATTTATAAAATGTAGCATTTTTATTTCTTTATGTTTAGGAGTTCTAGAAGAAGATAGATATTATACTTATGTGAAAGGTAATTTTTATTTACAAGGCTATAAACCATATAGTCTACATGTATTGCTAGACACTGGAGCAACAATCTCAAGCTATCGCAACAATGCTTTACCATTAAACAAATGGCAACCAATGAAGCATCCTATCATCATAGTAGGTATTGATGGTAAAGAAACTATTGTTGGTTATAAAGCTAAAAATATTCATGTTTATTTTAATAATATTAAGTTTATAATACCAAAAATATTATGTTTTCCTAATATACATAGAGACATACTGTTAGGAAATAATTTTATACGCATTTATGTTCCATTTTCTATATCTACAACTCATGTTACCTTAACAATTGATAAGAAATCAATTGATATTTCTTTACTACAGGAACATAAGCATATCTGTGACAAAAACTTTCAACTAGAAAGTTTAATAACATAAATTATTAAAGTAATCAATGAAAAACATTGGTTATATAAGATTTTGCAAGAAAACTTCAATGAAGAACCATTGAAGCTATAGAAAAGAAGTCCACGATATTATGAGCTGACTCTTCATAACCCAAAAATGGTAATAAGAGTAAAGCCTATGATCTATACTAAATAAGATATAAATGAATTCAAGATTCAAATTTCAGAGCTACTAGAAAAAGGCCTGATAGAACCAACTACCAGTCCACTCTCTTACCCAGCATTCATAGTAAAAAACCATTCTAAAATCAAACAAGGTAAACCACGAATGGTTATTAATTGCAAGAAATTAAACCAAAATCTTATTTTTAATAGCTATTTTATTCCTCATAAAGATGTTTTATTACATTTAGCAAAAAATGCTAGATATTTTTCTAAATTTGATTACAAGTCTAGTTTTTGGCAAATCATGCTTAAACCTAAATCTAAATTATTAATTACTTTTAGTGCACCAACAAGCCATTACCAATTGACTATTATACTTTTTGGTCTATGCAATGCATCTCAGATATTTCAGTGTTGGATGGATACTATATTCAGCAAACATAAACAATTTTACTGTATATATATTGATAATATACTTATTTTTTCTAATACACTAGATGAGCATAGGAAACACCTAAATATTATTGTTCAAGAATTTATATTACATGGTATTATTTTAAGTTCCAAAAAGGTTGAACTTGAAAAAATAGAAATAGAATTTATTGGTCTTAATTTATCTACTAATGGTTTAAGATTGCAGGATCATATTATTACAAAAATCAAGGAGTTTTTAGAAGAATTGGATACTATCAAGCAACTACAACAGTTCTTATGAATTGTTAATTATGGTAGATAATTTTTCAAAAATCTTTTTAAAAAAAAGTGTTCTTTTGAAAAAATTACGAAAAGATATTGATTTTATCTGGACATAGGCTAACTCTGATATTATTAAATAAATCAAATCAGAGCTAACCTCTATTCTTAAAGTTTATCTACCTAAACAAGGTGATTTGTTGATATTAGAGACAGATGCCAATAAAGAACATTGGGGATATGTCTTTAAAGCAAAAAATCTTCATCAAAAGGATGAATTGATTTATGGCTATAATTCAAGAAAGTTTAAACCAAATGAAATAAATTATATTTTTTATGAAAAAGAACTATTAGCCATAAAAAATAGTGTACAAAGATTTCATATTTATCTGGGCCCTGAAACCTTCGTTATAAGAATTGATAACCAAGCTGTCCGAGATTTCTTCAAAAATGAAAAACTCTCAGAAAATCTCAGAAGAAACAGGTGGTATAACTTTCTTTGTCAATATAGTTTCCTTATTGAGTTTATTAATTTTGATAAAAATATTCTAGCTAATTTTCTTAGTAGGCCGAATGAATAGAGGTAAACTGCCTCAAGAAAAACCTGAAGAATGGAGAACTATTAAGATGAAACAACCTAAAAAGGGTTCGTGTTCTTCATCCTCTTCAACCCCTTATTCTCCAAGATCTTATTTTTTCTTACAAATCCTAAATCAAGATTTGGTTTCTTCAATGATCCTAACCAAGGATTATTTTACTATCAACTATAAAATTTTAGATCACCTTATATGCCCTAAGAGTTCAATCAGAATTCTCACAGTTTTTCTAAGATCCAAACTAATGGACTCCAATGAGTTATTCTAAAATAGTTTCTTTCACAAAAAAATTATTGCAAGAAACAAAGGTCTTTAACAAAGAGATCAAAGATTTTTATAATTCTGAACTTGAACCACAATCTATGATTTGCTAAATTATGTTTGGAAATCCCATCTTACTCAAAATAAGACCTATTTTCGTAAAGGGATGACCAAGCTTGCAGAATATCTGGCTAAACAAGCTACATATATTCAAGAATTAAAAGAAGTAGCTTTCTAAAGCTTTCTGTCTACTAACTTGTTAAAACAGTAAGATATAGACTTTTTCGTTTTAGAAGAAAATACATGTACTATCTCAGAAATTAATAATTTTTTAAGACTCTGTGATTATTTTAAAAATAAAAATTCTCCTCAACTAAACAAGCTTAAGAGGATACTTCTGTTTGAAAAAGTTGTTCAATTCTTAACCAAAAAATTTTTTCAACAAATAAATCTTTCTATTGTTTAGACAACAGAAAAACTGTTAGTCAAAATTTTTTTTGAATATTATTATTCTTTATATATCCATATTACTACCACTAGGATCACATTCCAAAAATTAAATTTCTTCTAAACCAATAACCCTTTAATGTAACTAGCATCGAAATTAGAATAGTTGATCAGATTCTTGTACAAAACTTATCATTTGATTTGATCAAAGATTTTTCAACCTTTATTAAACACCATTTTCACAAATTTGTAAAAAATAGTCACCATTTTTACTATTTACACTTTACTATTACTAGTCTCCTTGGTAGTTTCTAGAGAGAGATTTTTTCAACCCTATCAAATTTGAAAAATTAAAAAAATCCTTTTTGGTGCTCTGTTAAACTCAACCACAGAAGCCCTGGAGATTCCAGAAACTCTAAATAAGATAGTTTCAAATTTTTCAAATTCATCCCAATATTAATTTCAAACAGGAATTGAAATGATAGAAAAAGTCACTCATTTTTTTCAACTAGCTACCAAAGACAATTTTTCAAAATCAGCTGCTTGGATAGATGGAATAAGAATTTTTGTTCAAACTTATTATGGTTCATATGAAGCTCCAATGCAAAGTAAACTAGAAGCAGTGAAACTTCTTCAAAAACTTTCTTAAATGGAAGATTTGGACCATCCACAAGAACTGCTCTTCCAATACCAAGAAGGATGAAAGATGTGAAACCAATTCAGATCTAATTCTTCTCACTCTCACCAAACCCTGGATGAAGATGGTGTAGAATTACAAATTTTGGATAATGCTATAAAGGGATAAATAATCTTGATCAATTATATTCTAAGAAAGAATTAGCCAAAGAATAAGCTGATCCAAGCTATCGACACAAAAAGACAAAGTTGTTCAGCGCTAAAAATCAGTTGTACTGTAGTAGTTACTGTTCTCGATAAAAAATTTTGTAGCAGTCATTGTAGCAGATAAAATATTACTGTAACAACAGTAATAGATAATCATTCTGGATATTGTTCATTACTTTTTACTATTCATATTTTTGTTTATATAAGCTCTCATTGTAATTAGCTGGAAGAGGCTTTTCGGATAACTTTCCCTTCTCTCTTACTCTTTTATACTTTCTTCTATTCGAATCTTCCTATTAATATATAGACAGTTTCTTTTTATTTTCTTATCTAATTTTAGATCCAACTATTTTAACTTCGATGCCGGTTAAATCAAAAGATTCTTGATTTAGACAAAATTTAATTTTTGAAATATGATCACCAATGGTAGTAATATGGATATATAAAAAATAATAATATTCACAAAAAGTTTCGACTAACAATTTTTTTATTGTCTGAATAATAAAAAAATTTATTTATTGAAAAAATTCTTTGGTTAAGAATTGAGCAATTTTTTCAAACAAAAATATCATTTTAAGCTTGTTTAGCCGAGGTAGAAATTTCAAGAAATGGAAAATGATCTTCCTCTCTCAAATGGAGAGATCAAGCAAAATAATGATGACAGACAGAGTAGTGCTACTGGTCCAGGACAATTATATGCAATATTATTAGGTTTTTAGCGCTGGATAATGACAATGATAATTAAGGAACCCTTAATTGGTCTGACAACTTCGTGATCTCGATCAAACAATATTGAAATAGGATGAAGCGCAATTGATGAGATTAGAGCCTTAAATGGACAAAGTTTGCGTCCCAATCAAACAACAGCGTCTGGAGAGGGAAACTGATAATTTTATCCCTAGCTCCTAGTACTCGTAATCAGTTGCAGACCATAGCATACATCATTTGCTCAAAAAAATGTACATGACGTTGAATCACAAATATTGCCAACGGTGGAGTCAAACCCTTCTATGCTTCCTCCAAATAATTAATAATTGCAATCCTTGCTTTAGGAGGTAGGAACCAGTAATGCTTCCTTTGCATTGTCCATCAATTTTTTTTTTACAGAGAAGAAATGGTCAGAAACAAACAAAATTTGAGAAAAAAAAAAGGGTATCAAGTGGTCAAACGCGTCTTAGTTGGTCATCACCTCCAATGTGTTAATTTCGTCGTTATTTCCTGCATTATTTATTTATAAACTGATGCTTCCAAGAAAATTAACTCTGGTACCTGTCCAATTTTCTCGAGTTTTTCTCCCTCCTCTCTACCTAGATCTCGCAGAAAATGTCTGATGGTAGCATGGACATGCCTATGCCTAATTCAGGGTCAATGTCAAACGATAGCATGAAATCGATGGGTATGCACATGAGCTTCTACTGGGGTAAGGATGTGATTGTTCTGTTCCCAGGATGGCCTGAAAGCAACTCCGGCATGTATGTATTGGCGATCTTCTTCGTGCTGTTGCTAGCCGCCACTATTGAGGTTCTGTCTATGTTACCGCTAGTTAAACCTGGCACCAGACCTATTCTTGGGGCTTTCACTCAGGCCAGTGTTCATGCTGTCCGAATGTGCTTTGCTTACATGGTTATGCTCTCTGTAATGTCCTACAATCTTGGAATCTTCATAGCTGCCGTTGCTGGTCATGCTATCGGGTTCTTCGTCGTCAAGTTTCGTGCTGTGACTAAGGAAACCGAGCAGCAGTACATGTCTCCCAACGGCATCAGTTCTAAAACGTGAAATTGCTGTGCTGATCATGTAATTTCCTGAATTTTAACCCATTTGATTCAGGATATAAAGCTTAAGCTAGAGATTCAAAATTTAAGTTTCAAACCTCCCTTTTGTATCAATAACATATAATTAAGTTGCTCATGCTTTGTCTCTCTTTCTGTTAAGCAATTTTCATTTGCCAAATGATCTCTCTATAGCAATTTTATTATGCTTTATGGGTATGGATCTGATGAATTACTGTTGATTTTTTAAGTTAGTTTTGCTAAGGATTCTGGCATTGAGAATATCACCGCCAGTTTGAATAGAGTAACCCTGAAGAAGAACTGTTAAATAGTATAATAATTATGTTTGTTCTTGGATTATCATGTGAAAAGAGTGAGGAACACGGGTCTAAATTAACAAGCAAGAAGTGATAGAAAATGGCCAAGAACTGACAACTCATCTGGCTCAAAAATAATCTAATCCAAAAAAGGACAAGACTAAAGAAATGAAATTTTCAATAATGATTAGCGGCTTGCAAAAATCAACCATAGGCTTGTTTAGCACGTGAACCATTGTAAAGCTCCTGGGTGTAATCACTTCCCGGGATCAAAAACCCAACATATTCCTCAAATTCACTCTCGACTACTGTACCGACACCTGCGTCCTCTGGCTCAACCAACTCAATTCCCCTTGTTTCTCGCCTCGCCAAAGGGCAACCGTCAGTAGTTATTTCCCACTAGCAAAAGGAAAAGTGGCCACAGTGAGCGGCAGGTTTACCAGTGAGTTGCAAGTCACAGTCTCCGATCGTATGGTGGAAAAGGAGACCCCAAGCATACCCAGAGCTTGCATTGGCTGGATTGTCTCGGCTTGGCTCGCCGCTGCTACGGCGATTAGTAAAAAATGAAAAGCAATCAAGTAAACTCGGTTGCTCGTAACAATTATTGTATGGTAAAAGTGCAAGGCTTTGGCCTAAAAATTCCATTGACAAAACTGTTGAGGACAGGATAAAAAACCTTTTGCTTCTCTTTTATTTATCACTATTCAGTAATATATTATGAAAATATTACCCTAGAAACTAATTTAAGCACCTCTAGGCCAATGCAATGGATATTAGTTGAAGGTTGGCCCTTAGAATATCAAAGTACGGTACATCTTTGAAGCCCAAGAGAGGAAAATAGTTTTCTGCCAGTGGGCCACAAGTTGTAAAACCAGCCTACTCGAGGTTCATCACCAGCAGCTTCATGATAATCTTCAGACTCATCCCCCTCTGATGATAACGACTGGTTACTCTTCTTCTGGTTTTGACCAGTGATCTCAACTCCAGCTCCGTCTTCAACTTGAGCTTCTGCAATTTCTCCTGGCTTCTTGTCAAATAGTCCTTTAAATTGTTTTCGAGCCTTTCTCTCTGCTTCCTGCTCATAAATTGGTAAGGTTACATAATGAATTTTTTTCAGCCAATGATGCATGATGAATTGATACCTAGTAGTTCATATATATGTATAGTGTTTTATACAAAAATTACGTGTCACAATTTATCTCGACACGAAAACACGAAATATTTTTTTTTTTTGTCAAACTTATAATAGTTTTGTTAAAATTTTAAATCATATCACTTTCATGTTATAATATTAGATTGTCAAAGTCTAAATTTCCCATATTTTTAGTATTTGTCGAATGGCAAATAAAATACATAGCTGATTAACACACCTGCTCTTGCTTCTTCAGTTTTGCTAGAGCAGCTGTTCCATCTGGTTCCGAGGACTTATCGACTTTGATCATCTAATAGCATCCATAAAAAGGTTAGAAATTGGTCAAGAATCCAGTTTTTAACCAGTAAACTTAAATAATTTTACTAACTACCATTTGGTAATCACTTCTTGCTTCCTCAAAATCTCCAGCTGCCATGTAAGCCATTCCACGGCGGTATAATGCCTTTGCATGTACAGGGGTTGCATCTAAAACCTACACAGTTCCACCAAAACATATATAGATCCAAATTTGATGCATATCCTCGTACAGTAAATTATTTAGACAAGTAAACAAGTCAAACAGAAGGCAGCTCAAGGAGAAGTAAATTTTCAGATCTACTGTGTTTGGTTGTTTCTCTTAGTTTTCTCCCGAGATCAACTTTAAACTTCAAGACTTGATGTACCGTGTCATCCATACAAAAAATTCAGAAACCAATCAACGAGTTCTTTTGGTAACAATCTGATTATTATTGCCTTCGGTTATTTATGATCATAATGATGTATCCTTTACCATGGACACCAAAATCACAAAAAAATTTCATCTTCCCAATAATGAGAGAAAGAGAGAGAGTTCCAATTTGAAGTCATAACACACCTTATTACATGCCTCTATTGACTTTCCGCATTCTCCCATTTTGAGGAAGCACGCTGCCACATTCAGATGTAAGAGATTCTTCAAGTAACGAAACAGCAAAAGGAAATTAGCAAACTCCCGAAAACAAGCCATCTAACATCATGTAGCAACTGACAAATCACAGAATAGAATAAATTCTTTCAGCTACCATGCGGCAGGATGACACTTACTCTTGTGTCTAAAAACATTTTCCCTTCCTCGTCAGTTTGTGGGTTAACATGATTGAATTCTCGAAGCACCTATAAGCAAGACATGGAATTGAATTACATATGCACTTTAAATGTGTCACAGTAGAACTAGTGTCACTGCTTTCAGATGAACATCTGTTAATTAAGCTTATTCAGGTTTACTCCCATAACCAATCCGTTTCAGATTGGATGATTAGCATGATATTGAGACCTGGGTTATTCTTTACTCCATTTGTAATTTGGTTTTTCATCAAACATTACCATATTTGTTTTCCACATTATAGGCCAATATGATTATTGTTAGTAGGGCTTGGCGTTTTGGTCAATCCTTAATAATCAACCAAACGATAGAACAAATTGTCCACAATCCTAATGGTGATCTAAGATCTAGGCAACACAGTAACTATATGACCTTTTCATACTTTGCCCTGGCAAGTTCAAATTTTCCTTCTTTGAAGAGTCTGTTACCCTGCAGGAAAACATGATGGTTAAATGTTCATATTAATAGTCTTACAGCACAATAAACAGAAGCATCAAAAAATTAAATTGCATCACTGCAACAGCTTGCAAGCATACATATAGAGACGGGGATGTAAAGTCTATCCCCAGACCATCCAATAAATGAAAATGGCTCATTGAGGAGGAATGCAACATATAATAAGCCACATACCGTGACTCTAATTTTTTCTGCTTCATCCATTATGCTTTGAAAGTTCAAACCAGTCCAATCCTGTCATAATAAATATTTAAATTAGGCACTAAGGTTGGTAAAAGGAAACACGATAAACTGTTTTCACAACAATATCATGGTGGAAACTGCAATTTATCACTCATATCACAAAAAAGTTCCTAAAAGAAGACTTCATTACCTTTGGCATCTCAAAACCAAGAAGCTCAATTTCCCATTGTACATGAGCACCTTCTGGAACATTAGGTGGCCTAATCAAATAGGAAGAAAGGCACTCAGGTCATGCACAAAAAGAGAACATAAATAAAATATTTAAAGAAAAAAAAAAAAAAGCAACCTTAAAAATTTGTCATATGCATAGTCAGGAGGGCATGTGACGAGAGCAATCTCTCCAGGGAGCATCAAGCGTACGCACATTTCAAATCCCTCAGGCAACTGTAAGGCCAAATAAAAGCTAAATATATTAAAGCACAATCAGAGTCTTATCATGATAATTTTGACCAAAAACAATTTGTAGGGGGAGCATATTACCTACAATTCTTTTTACTACAACCCTACAATTATCCAATCACAATTCAAAGTTATGTAGGGGTCCACCACTTATGAGTGTGGGCTCCATATAAAATTTTGATGGACCCCACACAATTCTGAATTATGATTGATTAATTGTAGTACAATAATTATAGGTGATATGATCCCATTTGTATGTGAATGGCATGGATATGTCAATTTGATTTCAACCAGTACAAAATGAAATCTAAAGATTAAAAAAACTTATATTTCAAGAAACCTTTTCAACTTTACTAGGGAGAACTCACCATCCCTTCTCCGGAACTGAACTCCAAAGGTTCTCCCTGGTTATCGACTCTTGTATCATAGAAGACTGTCTTTTCTTCATTAAGAAGCATGCCTTTGTAATGGACTCGTAAAAGACTGTCATGAAGTGGGCAATCCATGGGAAACTCCCCTGATTATTCCAAACAACAAAGAAAATCATCATCCATGCAGCCACACAAACAGGATTTTTGACAAACAGAAACAATTAAAGGAAGCTTAAATGGAAACAGTAACTAGCACATAAATCGCACATATGGAAATAGAAGTTTTGAATTATAATCCTAGGAATCTTCCCATCAAAGAAGAATGAGTGTAAAAGCTGTTAAATGAATATTCCAAAATAAAGCTTTCACATGAATGAATAATTAAAATGACAATGTCGCATAGAGCAAAAACTAATAATATGTTGAGAGTAGATTTTTCATTGTATGATTCTCACATGGCATAAGGAATAGAAAACTGAAGAGAATCAAACAAAGATATCTCTCTTTGCCAATGTTTAATCAAATAAAAAAGAGCACCTATTCCATCCTGTAGTCTTCGTTTAATTAGGCGCCCATCTCCCAGCATGTCCCTCACCTATAAGTTCAACACTTGAGAGTTCACTTACATACGCCAATTTGGTTACCCAACAACAAAACATTTATGAGCAATATAAATATGAGTACCTGGACGAAGTGGACAAGCTCCACTTCAAAATGAACTTCTTCATAACCATCTATCATAGGCAAGAGGGGAGATGGAGTTAAGTATTGATTTGTAACATAAATTACCGCCTTCTCTTTCCGTGCCATTGTTCCTATTCCCATCTCAAGACCTTTAGGTACCTATATTTTATGAGATCAAGTACAAAATCTATATCAAAGGAGCTTAAGCATCAAAATGTGAAGTGGGGTAGATCAAGCACATAACTAGATAAAGAAAACTAGGATGACTAATTAGAAGCAAAAGCCCTATAAAATTTAAAAATCACCTACCTCACATTTCCCAAAGGTAAAGAAATATGGTTCCCCTTCCCTGCATGAAAGAATCAACTTGCCATCACCCGTCTTTGCAGAAATCCTGAAATATTAACGTAAGATACATCTAATAAATGATCAAAAAGATTCAGGAAATTTAGAGCAACGCACACAAAAGAATATGAAAAAGGCTTGAGAACAAGTTTACCAAGCTTTTACTTCATATGGTTCCCTTGGTGATTCCCAACCCTGGCCTTCATCTATTACCTACCAAAATTATATTGGTATTATTATGTGATATCTTTCAGACTGAAACAAATTTGCTGCAAATATGGAAGAAAGAATGAATTCCAAGCAGCAACAGAGTACAACCAACCACAAGGAACGATGATGATAATGATTCATGTAGAAGCATTAAAAATTAGTCCGCATATTCACAATATCGAAGCATATCAAGAAATGCATAAATTTCACAATCCTCCTTACATGCTTCCAAGTTCCAACTACTAGCATACTCCTAGCAAAATTTAAGCAATAGTGTGGCACTGTACCTTCTTCAAAACTCCCAAATCATCACAAACGACCTGAAAATGGACAAAAAAATTAGCAAGAGGTTAGAACTAAAAAAAGGCTACATGCAAATTAATCAATGACAGCTAGATATCTTCAGCACCTCAAACATATGAATACTACTGACATCACTAAGAAGCCATGTGTGAGAACACTGAATATACATTGCGTAAAGGAATCAAAATTGCTTTACGCTAAAATGTTATAACAAAATGACAATTATCTAATTTGCAGCACTCTTGCCTTGGCTTTGGAGAAATCTATCAACTCAATCTCAAAATGAAGTTTATCTTCTTTTGGGAAACTACTTGGAACTGGAACAGGACAGTCCTCCTCGGCATAGTGCATTTGAGGTTTCATTTTGAACTGAAACAAGAGATATCACCACATATTTTAAGAAATAAAAGAAATTCCAAATCAATAGTTGCTTTCTTTTTACTTTTGGTTAAGTATTTAGGACCAAGAAACACAAATATGGTTCAGAAATCTACAAAGACAATACCATTGCCACTTCACCCTTCAACATTGTTGGAATTCCTTCCAACAACCCCAATATCATTTTGCTCTTTCCCAATACGTTTCTAATTGGAATACCTTTCCCTGTCACATGAATGTCAATTCAATACAAAAAAAAATAAAAAAAGCATATACCATTAGATAAATCAACTAAGCACATTCTTTAGCTCAAGGCCTACTTATCAAACTTTAATATGCCACCATTCACCAAAAGGCCAAGCATGCATAATTATCACCCAACTTAACATAGCAACCAAAAGTTAAATCGATTCAAATGCTTACGGTATATTCACCTCCATATTCTGATCGCGTAGACTCAACGATAACTCCATCCAATGTCCTAACTGTGCAATGATATATAACCTGCAAAACACCCCAAAATATATATATATATATATATATATATATACCAATTCACGACTCAGCCCTTTGCATTCCTTTTCAAACACCACACTTCGCTATCCGATTATAAACAGTTAAAAGAAAGGATATCGGAAAAGAATAATAACCTGATCACCATCAGAAGGATTTGATTCACCTCCTCCAGGTCTCACCAAACCTTTCATTAAGCTTTCAGGAACAATTTTCTTTCTCCTATTAATTCCAAAACCCAAAATCAAAATCATAAATTTTTCTCAAAACTTTAAAATACAAGGAAAAAAAATTACCTCTTATCATCCTCAGATTCGGATTTCTTCTTCTTCGGCATTTCCTCTATCACCATCGTTAACTGAAGAGTTGACCAAGATTTTACTACAATCGCAGTCTCTTTTAACTTTAAAATTAAGCTTAATTTTAACTAAATAGTTATATTTAACAGTTTGGAAAAGGACTGCATTGCGATTTTGAATTGAAATTGCAACCTTTCAAAAATAAAATAATTACCTGTAATTTGAATGTTGAAGATAGATTGACCGACTGTCGTCGATGTTTCCAAGCGTTGTCGCACGACAAAATTCGGGTGCTAATATTTGATCTTTGATCTATTTAAAATAAAAAAATCCCGACCAATCGTAGCCGTTGACGTCGTTGAAATTTCATTGCGTTCTGATGATACGCGGTGCTAATAAATACAAGTGATCTGGCCAACGTATATGGCGCCATATTATTGGTCAGACCCCAGTGGCCTGTGGCCAGCCTCTAGGGCGGCTATTTTTAGTTCACCAAATTCAGGCCTAAAACGATTCGTTCTATTCGTCTTATATGGATAGATGGGATCAGATCGTGGATTCCTGCTTTGGCCTTATGGCTATGGGGCTTTATTTTTTCTTAAACATGGACCAAATTTAAACCCAATAACAAAGTGGGCATATATTTGTCAATGGTCTCAAAGAAAAAAAAAAAGCCGAATTCTTCCATATTTTTTCCTTGAAAAGTTTAAAAACATCACTGCTAAGGGGTTGAAGTAGAAGGAAAATAATCTGAATTAGATTTCCCATTTCAAAGATGTCAGTCTCTATTTTAATTGGTAAGTTAACCAAACAGAAACATCATCAGCAGTAGACAGTAGCATCGATTAATCGTATATTTTTTCATCAAAATTTGCGTAACATGCACGTAATGGAATACAAATGTAAGCCTGTTCCCAACCCAATCCATGTTGTGTGTTAGGAAACAAAGCCGTACGCTAATACGAAGCTTTTCGTCGTTGTTCAAAGGTTCAAACCACCTTATCTGTCAGCCATAGCCTGTCCATCAAACATCACCATACTCCATTATTTTCCTTAAGGTTTTTTTTTTTTTTTGGTCCATGTTGTGCTTTTAATGTTATTTGAGCGGCTCCCAAATAACAGGTTTGGTTGGTTGGTTTGTTGAGCAACCGTTGAATTCGTCAGATATGCTTTTCCAATGTAAAGGGGTGGTCCTGGCTCCAGCCTCTTGCACATCCAGGGAAGATATTTTTTTAAGATGCTATACTTGAATACTAAATTCTTTAGCCGTTTACATTGAACCCAAGTGGAAGAAAACTGGTTTACCAGGCGGGAAAAGAAAAATTAGAGACGCTTCTCCCACAAAGTTCCACTCAAGTTTAACAGGAAAGAAGTCGAAATGCTAACTGCTAAACCCCAATTCAAAACTTTAGGAAAACGATGTATGTACTCACTTCTTGGCCTATAAGTCATAACCACATATTTAACAAATGTCTAATAGTCCAAGTGCAAGAGGTGAAAGCTTGGCATAATTTTATGGTTAAAAATCAAAGAAATAACTAGTGAAACAAGCATGTTACCGGTGTGAATGGGTGAAATGAAGAACCACTAATTAACTTCACCAAATAGATGTTATGTTCTAAATTATCTTTTAGAGTACCATAGTCATAAATCTTCTTCGGTGGTATATCCTGATAATTTTACAGCCTTCACATGGGGTTGGTTTCTGTTTTATCAGCCGATTCAGCCATCCGTCAAAGGGCAATACCTTTGCTAAAGCAATAGCTTTAAGGTTGAGATAGTTCAATTCCAAATTCATTAATTTTCGGGGGAAGGTATGGGTGGTGTACGAGCTGAGTCAATTTTAGAAACTGTTTTCATGGGTGGCCATAGCTTAGATAGGGAATAGACAGAGTGGATGTGATAGCAAAAAAAGTACCAAGATTTGATAAACAGTAATATATGTACAGCCTTTATCCCTTCAAATTTATTGAAAAAATCATGGATGAAGGGTCGTCATTGCTAGAAGAAAATATCAGCAAAACTAGAATGAAAAGATCATATTCTGTTGGGTTTTCCCAATCAAAATCTGGTACGATCCCATATCAATAATCAACGCCAAAAATCATGAAAGAAAAGGGAAATTCAAACATGAAAAATATAAAAAGAAACGTAAAAATTTAGGGCTTAGCAGAAATTGTAGACGAATACTCAAATAAAACCCAAAACCCACAACATGTAATGTGACGCACACTCACATCCAGCACTACTCTACCACCACCACCACCACTAGGGACACATCAGCCGACCTAAAACACACGTACACGCGCAACATACGTGAACTTGGGTGCTTGAAATAACCGGCACGTATAAAAGTGGTGATCAGCATCTGGGTTTTAGCCGCGATGGGTGCATGGCTCAGGACGTGGTTGAGCCAAATTCGTCAGCAGCTGGTGCATGCTGGCTAGGCGGTGCTAGGGCCACGCTTTGAGTGCAATTTTTACCGTTCTACGCCGTGAATGGATAGACGAGTTCCAGGAAGGGTAAAAATTAAAAGCAAGAAACAATCTCTACTTCCTTCAACAAAGAGAAAGGATACGAAAAGATCGCAAAGCATAGAAGGTAACCTTAATGTTTGACACGTGCAAGTAAACTTAAGCTTTGGTCCACTCCCATCTTACTCACCAACAGCTACTGCCAATATCATGTGCGCTTCCCTCCTAAAGAAAATTCAACATTTTTCCCGTATACACATCCTTTTAAGTTTCGTTTTCACAACTTTTGTTTTAATTTTAAATGAAATATTATTTTTAATTTTTAATACTTTGACGGCAATTGAGTGGGTTTGACAGGTTGGAAGGGTAAAATTCTAACAAGATCAGAAAGACAGTAATAATAAATTTAATCAGATCACCCATGCGCCAAAGAGTCATGCTCTGCAAAAGATGGGGGATATTGTAACCCCATTCATTCCATTAACATTTCATTTTCAACAAAATTCAAAACTTATTGACCGAAATCCCAGATTACAAAAGAGTAAACCCTTTTGTATATTTCTCCCAAACTGACTGTTTTTTCCTCCAGCCCAACCAAATTGAACAAAAGCTGCTGGCTGCGCTATACACCATTCACTTTTTCCTGAAACTAGTTTATTTTATCCTAGGCCTAACCCAAAAACCCATTTCATTTTCATTTTCTTAATAATAACCCACATTTTCTTTCTCCTTAAAACCTATAACCCTACACTACTATTTCCCTATAACAAACAATCTAACAACCTCCACTTTCTTGCTTCTGAACTTAAAATTCCTCCCCATTTGCTAAAACTCCCAAAAAAAAAAAAAAAACCCAACAGAATCAGTCAACAATGAGAAGCAAAGTTGGGTCAATATGTCCACTCCTGAGGTAACCGGACATCATTGCTGATTCCTTGCTGTGGCCTAAAATTGCGCTGCTTCTGGTTTGCAAAGACATTCCCACCACTTCTAAGCCTCAAAGCAGCATCTGCAAATGCAAATCTAAGTCAAAAACCAAATAAATAAATAATACTTCATAGAAATTCAATTTAGATTGCAAAAAAATAAGAGTTTTACCACTATCAGCAGCGAAATGAAGCCGGGGTTGAGCACCAATCTCATCAAGATTCAAGTTCAAGGCCTGAACCACTCTAGCTGGAAGCAAGACCGTAGAACAAGCTGCAGAAATAACATGGATCAAAAAATGAAAATCAGATCGAGGAAAATGAACGAAAGCAATACATTTTAAGAAAACAACAAAAAGAAAATAGGTACGGACCTGGCTTCTTGCGGGGTTCAGAAGAGGTACCACTACGGCGAGGCAAGAAGACACCGGTTCCAGCACATTCCTTTCTACCAGTAGGGTTGCCCAAGAAAACAGCCCGCATACCGGACCCGTTTTGCGGCTGGGGTTGCTGCTGTAGAGGGGGCCATGCAGATGGGGACAAACCCAAAGGCCTATTACTAATACTATTACTATTCCTCCCTCTGTTTTGGACCACATGGTGATGCAGCTGCTGCTTCTGTCCTCCCCAAACCGATGCGCTTTGTTGTTTCATTAGCTGTTGTTGCTTCAGTTGCTGAACCTGCAACCAACAAAATTAATACCCTACAGGAAAAAGGAACAATCTAAACAAAACATTTTTAGCTCTGTCTTGAGGTTTTTTACTTGAGTTTCCTGCAACTTCTGGTGAGAAAGTGACTGGTGAGGAGGATAAAAGCCAGAAACATTGAGGTTTGGACAGGGTTTTGTTAGTGGTGGATCCAAGAGGCCTCTGTTGTTCAACCCACAGTATGATTCTTCATTCATTCGCTTCCTTGCTACTTCCCCTGCTGCCGCATACAGTAGATCCCATGTTCCCAGTGATGATGAAACTCGAGATTGACAGTTTGTGCTTCCACGGCTAGATCCTTGCTTGCAACCGCAACCGCTCCTTAACGCACATAGGGTCGATTGCGGCGAACTGGACAAGACCCAACCCTAAAAATTAAAACAAAAATGAAATTAAAATAGGAAATAATCCTAGAATCAAAAACTTAGTGGAGAAGTTTCGTGTTTAGTGCTTCAACGGACCTTCGGGTTTTCAGAGGCAAACGCGCGGTCGTTTCGGCGAAAATCCTCTTCAAGAGTAGAGTGAGCCATTTGACGAGTTAACCCAGCGAGATAATCTTCTTCGTCACTCTCCGTTTCTATAGAACCCAGCACGGACTCAACAGGAGAACTTAGATCAGGAGAGAACCCCAAAGACCCAAACCGGTTAGGAAACTCGTAAGGAAACAAAGAACTGGGCCCATCAAGATCTAACCCAAACCCATCTTTAAGATTATTCGGATTGTTCTTAGCCTTACCCCCGTCCATTACTAAGTCATCGTCGGTTAAAAATCGAGGAGGAAGCCAAAACTCGCCGTCGTTTAAAACCTCCGCCATAACAAAGAAAAAAACCCAAAGAAGAAGCTGGAGGGTAACAAGGAAACAAATAGCAAAGGGAACGGAAAGGGAGGGAGATTTGATGAGTAGAGAGCGATGGGTTAAAGATTTAATAAGAAGCAGTTGCACCCCTGTTGGTTTTGCTGGCACTGGCAGAGTAAGGGGCCCAGCCAAAGCTAAAAAAGCAAAAAAAAATATAATAACAGGTAACCAAACCAAAGGGAGAGATTAGTAACTGTCAACGAGTAAGCTGTGAGAGCAAAAGAGAAGAGGAGGAATGGAGGTGGAATGGAGATTTGTGTATGTCGCGTGAAGTGAGAAGAAAAAAAAAGCAAGAAAGAGAGGACTGCAGAAAAAGCGGGACTGAGTCTTCGACTCGCCTAAAAAGGATGGTGATGAACACGCTCCTGCCATATTGTGGGGGTCCATGGAGGAGTTGCAGCCAGGTAAGTGGGGTCGATTGAAATACAGAGAGCTCTTGGACAGCATGTGACAGGGCCACCATTTTTTTCTCTTTTTAAAGTTTGAGATTTAAGCAATATTTTTCATTTTTTCTATTTCATTGGAGTCTTAAAAACCCCAAATTCGCAAGTTGTTCTTGACGTCCCAAGAGCCTTAGCCACGACGTGGGGGCAATGGTTCACCGGCATAGCAGACATTTGTCCTGGCTATGCTGTCCACTTGGCAGTTCAGGGACACGATCCCTTGCTTTACCCATAAGTTTTTTTTGGGTATTCACATAGTTCACGTTACAAACAGTACTACTCCCTTCAATTCTTTTATTCAAAGAACTGAAAACCGTTCAATAATTGAATCCCTATTTGGTCGATAAGTAACATGCACATATCCATTTTCAGAGTTTTCAGTTTAAAGCCTGCGTTCGGATCGGTTTGGGGTGCACCAAAAGATCTTTAGCACAGCCTGGTTGAGACAATTGGAGTAATAACAACAAGCCTATGGCCTGTAGGGTTTTAAAGCCAAACCATTGGTTTAGGCTTATCGGTGAATGGTGATGTGTTGTTTTATGAATGACAAATAAAGAGCGCAATTCTTTCCCTAATTGTATGCTGTTCATTTGAACAGTAAAATTGAATTATTTAAAATTAAATTAATTAAATTATTTTATTTTATTTTTGTTAATTAAATTATATTTTTTATTTTGAAAATTAATCAATTAAAATTGATTCAGTTAATTCAATTAATTTTTTAATTAATTAAATAATAAAATATATTTTATTTTATTTTAAATTTTTTTCATTTAAAATAAATTAAAAAAATTATTTGACAAAAATTTTTAAATATCAAATATTAAATTAAAAATTTTAATAACTTGAAATGAATAATTTTATATATTTTTAATTTTATATATTAATTTTATTATATTTGAATTAAAATTTTAATTAATTTAATTTTTGAATTGAATTAATTAAAAATTATTTTTTTAAAAATTATTGTTAATAATTAATTAAAATTAATTTATTAATTGATTACTTTATAATTAATCGAATTAAATTAATTTAATTAAAATCAAAATTTAAAAACGTTTACTTAATTATCTTTGATCGAGGAAAGTTGAATTATCTTATTTCCAGCTACCATTCATTAAAGAATCATAGTAATGTTTTACCGCTTGGTACACGTGTGTTGGTAAAACGAGTTACACTTTGACTATCACGTCATCAACACTCACATGTAATTCACGTATAATTTGAGGATAAATAATCAAATTATAAATGGAAATGCATCCCAAATAATAATTTTGGTGCTTATCTTCTCTCTACAGATTTGACAATTGTACTCGCTCAATTTCCAACTAATTTGATTCTCACTGAACTCAAAAGTGCATCAAGCAAATATATTGTAATTTCCTTCTATTTTCCTTCCAATTGTAGCATAGCACTGTGAATTCTTGAATTTTAAGGATATAAATGCAAGCCGAGTTTATAAGTTTCGTTTGTGAACGATCACATTCACAAACGGAGACTTCATCTTTGAGTTATGTTTTATTCCCAACTATTTTTTTTGAGGCCAATTTTATGATTTGGATCTTAACTTTTTAACATCATCCTTCTGCTAATGAATATGGAAACACACAATGCTAATTGTAGTAGACAGTCAATTGAAAACTACAAGCAAGGAAAATGAAAGAAAAGGACAACTAGTTGGGTCTTGGGTGCATTGTAAACAGTTGCGTTTAAAGATTATAGAATCTTTAATATCCTGGTTCCATGTTCTAACGGGATGGGAAATGGGAGGAAACCGAAAGAAATGAAAACAAATCGGAAAAAAAAAATGTTTGCTTCCGAAATTATTTGGAAAAATACGGAGCAAAATGGGAGAATTCAAATAAAATTAAGTAATAGTTTGAACCTTAACTTTATTAGGGACATGTAATCAAATTAAATTAAGTTGATTTCATTTTAAGTTTGAACTTATTTAAAAAACTTGAAGCTTGAAGGTTAGTTTAAATTTGACCAAATTTTGCTTTTTATATTAGAGCTTAATTCAATAAGCTTACGAGTCATTGCATCAATATTAAAATATTTGAATTTAATTGATTCATTACTTAAGTAACTTAAATTCAACTCAAACTTAGTTTATGTTTGAATTTGAGTAAGTGGAGGGGAGGAAAAAAATGAAATGAAAAAATTTTAAAATTTTTTTATTTGAATTTTACATAAATTAAAATAAAGGAAGTGGAGAGGATGCTTAGCCCCTTGCTTTCTCACGTTCTTTCATTTTTTGATTACCCTAAATTGAGAGAAAAGGAAGAGAAAATAAAAAAATTTAAATTTAAATTTAAAATAATTATTACACCCTTATTATCTTTTTATATTTCAAATAGAATTTTTATTAATTTTCAAATTTTGTTATTACCAAATCTTCCAATAACCCTTCATAAACTAGTAATCTAAAATATATATTTAAAAAATAAGATATTATTTTATTATAAAATAAATTCTTAACAAAAAATAAAAACAAAAACAAAAACAATTTAATTTTATATTATCATTTTAATACATAAATCAGTAAATATAATTGTAAAACAAAATTAATTTACCAATTGAAAAAAATCAAATGGATGTCTTAAGTCACATCATCAATGTTGTTTGTCTAATCATTTATCTAGTCAAGTAAAATATTCGTAAAATTAATTTAACTATATGCATCATGTATTATGGGTAAAATTTTAGAATCTTTAATTTTACATTTTATAACAAGTTTTTAGATGGTATTCTATATTTTACAATTAAAAATATTGTATATTATTTTACATTCATAAAAAAATTATTTTAATATTATATGTTATTTTATAAAAATATATTATAATTGAAAAAAATTACAATTAATACTTTCTTTTCTTTTTGCTATTTAATCAAATAATGATATTATAAATTTTTTATTTATTTTAATTATTAAAAAATACATGTATTTTTTTAAAACTTTTATTTTATTTTATTTTATTTTTATTAATATTTATCCTCACATAAAATGTTTAAGTAGCGAATAACTCATAAATTGTTTCACTCGTTGACGCTGGTAGCTTAATAGGACCTTAACCCTTATAAATATTAAGGCAGCTTCCAGTAAAAAGTAGGGCAATTAGGCAACCAAAAGAAGATTGCGTGGCGGAGATGCATCAGATCATTTGATTCAGCATTTTTAACTATTTATCCTGTCGTTGGTCAAACCATTTTTTTCCTTCCAACCGTTTGTTTTAACGTGCGTCGTTATCTGTACACATCATTACGGCGTGTCCTTTTCCAATTCCCCATTTGCCGGCGTTGGACGGCGCACCTCTCGTGGATGCAGCACCCTTCCATCAGCTCCATTTCATACTATTTTTCAAATCCATCCATCCTTTAAAAAAAAATCCCCAAAAAATAATTAAAAAAAAGGAAAGTTGTGGTAGGGACATGCTTACCTGCGAAAAGGGAAAGCTTTAAGGACTAGTCAGCTGTTAAAACAAAGGCCGTACAGTTCAATATTGAACAATTTTGATCTCAATTTTACTCGCCATCATCACCGTCCTTTACTGACAACAAAACTGATTCAAGCTTTCGTGTTCCTTCATTGCGAGTGTAGCATGTGATGGTGAAATTCAAAATTAGGTCGGCGTGCCGGACATGAACTCTTTTTTTTTTACATAATAATCCCCATTTGACGAAGAAAATTCATAAAAAAAAGAGAAAATGAAAAATTGGTTGAATCTATTATAAGGGTTTATTTGAACAGATTGAAAAATTTGAAAGTGAGATTAAATTTTATTGTGATAAAATTAAAATAAATGAAGAGATACGTATTTAGATTGAAAAATAGAATAACAAAATTAATTTTGATTAGATTGAAAAAAGAGTTAAAAGTTGATTAATTTTTATAGTGATAAAATTTAAATAAATGGATAGATATATATATATTTAGATAAAAAAATAATTCTAGTAAAATAAATAACAATAGAAAAAATAATTATTAAGGAAATTTAAATAAAAATGATTATTTAATAAAAATTTTAGATTATTTAATATTTATAAAAATTAAAAAATTATTTTATATCAAATAATTATTTTATTAATAAAAAATTAAAATTTATTTATTTACATTTCATAATTTTTAAATAAAAAATTAAGTTATAAAAATATTTTTATCTCTACAACTTAACTTAAAAGATTAAAAAAAAAAAAAAGAAAAAGCAGTCGTCAACTGGACCAAAATAATCCAGTGTGCAAACCGATAAATTGCAATATCACTACACATGTACTTGAATATCTTCGACACTACTAACACAACTTTATATGAAAATGGCACTTTGCCTGGAGGTGAGATAAAATTCAAATGCAGCCTTATTATTTTCGTTAAATAGTAGAATTTGAACTTTCGGGCCGAAAGATAATAGAAAAACGTTGTTTTCAAATTAGTAGCAGCATTTTCTTTTGACTGATTCATCACCACCAGTTGATTCTTGTTTTTCAAATTGGAAGATTTGGATTTGAATGGCTTCAATTTCGTCACCGATTATTCACATCTAGTCGGCTATGCCCAACTCATTAAATCTTGAAAAACATACCCATATACATATAAATATATATTATAGATATGAACTGCTTGATTTATGAGTGTGACAAAATCTTCAATTAGCAAATTGCAATTTTTGTTGTCTTGAAATCATTACTCTTAAGTAGGGATATAAATAATACATTAGTACTTGCAAGCTACTCGGGATCAATTCAAATAAAACTCGAATTCAGTTCGATTATTATCAAGTCGAATTCGAACTCGAATAACTTGATTTATCGATCGAGTCGAGTTCAAGTATTCTTATACCTAACTCGAGTAGCTCGTGAGCTTAATCGAGCTTTTATATTTAAATATATTTTTATTATTTTAATTTATAAAATATTTCGAATTCGAGCTTGAGCACAAATAATCGAACTCTTATCGAGTATACAAATTGAGTTTATTTTTATATATTAATAGAGCTTAATCGAGCGAGTTCGAGTAGCTCGATTTCGATCACGAATCGAGCTCGAGCTAGAAAAATAAAACTCGATCGAG